AGTTTAATTCACTCTGTAGCCAAACTCATCTCAAAGGTGCTGCAGCTGAGACTGTCGCGGGTGATGGAGCAGCTCATCTCACCAGCCCAGTCGGCCTTCTTGAAATCAAAATGCATACAGGATAGCTTCCTATATGTTCAAAACGCAGTCCGTTCGCTGCACCGCCGCAAAACACCAGCCCTGCTCATCAAACTAGACATAGCCAAGGCCTTCGACAACGTCTCCTGGGAATATCTGCTTCAATTACTAGATAAGTTAGGATTTAGCGCTAGATGGAGGGATTGGATTTCGATGCTGCTAGCTAGCTCTTCCTCGGCTTTCGTCCTCAACGGCTGCCCTAGAAGCGACATTGACCATCGTAGAGGCCTGCGACAGGGAGAACCGCTCTCGCCCTTGCTGTTCATAATCGCCATAGACCAATTGCACCATCTCCTAGAAAAAGCGGAGGAATGGGGCCTGCTCACCCCCTGCAGGGTAGGATAGGTGCCCTGAGAACCTGCCTCTACGCCAACGACGCCATGATCTTCGCCACCCCATCCCGCCAGGAGATCGACAACCTGTTTCTGCTGCTGTATAACTTAGGAAAGGCCACGGGACTCCGCATCAACATAGAAAAATCATCGGTTGCGCCGATTAGATGTGGTGACATTGATCTTCAAGATGTACTACATGGTTTTAGTGGTCCGGTGGTAGGCTTCCCGTTGCGCTACTTAGGGCTACCCATTACCATCTCCCGTGTCCGCTTAGTCCACCTACAATTCATCCTTGATCGCATAAGAGCTAGACTGGCGGCATGGAAAGGACTCCTCATGTCGATAGCAGGACGTAGGGTTCTTGTCCGCTCCGTTCTAACGGCGTTGCCAATCTTCACTCTGACGGTTCTGCGAGATCCAAAAAGGCTGCTCAAAGACATTGACAAATGCAGGCGTCGCTTCCTTTGGGCTCAAGACGAAGAGCTTTCTGGCGGCAAATGCAAGGTTAACTGGCCCACTGTCTGCTCTCCGATGGACTATGGAGGCCTCGGCGTCCTTGATTTGCAGCAGTTCTCTCGCGCACTCAGGCTCAGGTGGCTTTGGTTCAGCTGGAGAAACCCTGATCGGCCATGGGCGGGCTCGGAGCTGCCCTGTGATGATGCAGACAAGGAGCTTTTCGCTGCTGCAACAAGAGTCACTATCGGGAACGGGGAGGTTGCATTGTTCTGGAACTGCGCGTGGCTGGGATCATCGACATTGCGAGCATCCTTCCCAGCCTTGTTCGCCCACGCCAGGAGAAAGAACAGAACAGTGAAAGAGGCACTTTCAGCTGGCACCTGGATCCGTGACCTGGCTCATGGAAACACTGATGCTCTACTCCAGGACTTTGTTCATTTGGCCAGCGCATCCGCCTTGCAAATGTGCAGCTGCAGCCTGGGATCCCGGACGAAATCACTTGGAAATTCACAGCGTCAGGAACATACACTGCTGCCTCAGCTTACAACATGCAGCTCATGGGCAGAATCAAATCACCCGCGCACAAACTAATTTGGAGCACCTGGGCCCCTGGAAAAATCAAGATCTTCTACTGGTTGCTGTTCAAGGAAAGAATCTGGTGCAACGACAGACTCCAAAGAAGAGGATGGCCGAACGGATATTTCTGTCAGTTATGCCTCAGAAATCTTGAAACAACTACACACCTCTTCTGGCAATGCAATTTTGCTGTCGCGGTTTGGCAGAAGCTGGCGGAGTGGAACGGATGTGGTGCCGTCGACCCGGCCAGATGGCATCTGCTGCCAAGCTCAACACTGATCGCCACCAAGATGACTAGCGAAACTTGCCCAGCATTCATGAAAGGCGTCAACTCCCTTATTCTTCTGGCGCTCTAGGAAATATGGAAAGAACGAAACAGCTGCACTTTCAGGGGAAAGGTGGCATCTGCCTCTGAGGTGCTGGCATCCATAAGGAGAGCCATCGAGCTGTGGCGCGCCGCGGGCGCAACATGCCTAGAGCCCCCGTTCGGGGACACATTGGGAGATATGTAACTTGATAAACCCTAGCTTTTTCTTTTC